CAAGGGGGAAGCAGGCAGCTATTGTTTTTGTCTGCTCACTCTGTGCTGAGCAAGGGGAGAGCTATGGCATCTATCAGTTCAAACCTCCACCTCAGGTCTCCTTCAGGTGGCTAGACTGTACTGGGCCCATTAGAACTCCAAGACCACCAAGAAAGATGCCAGTTCTTCAGGAAGCTCCAGAGAAGTTGGGGTGTTGAGTACACACATCAACTCTTTGCCTCCCCAGTGGGAAGCTGAGAGCTGGGGTTTCTCATCCACTCACTCAGTGTTGAACTGTGGGGAGGATCGTATCCTCCATCCGCCAGCCCATGTTACTGTCTCCATTCTCCCTCAGGTAGGTAGACTGTGCCAGACCCATCAGAACTCCAAGCCTGGCAATACAGACTCCAGTCCTCTGGGGAATACCCTCAGAAAAGTTGGTGTGCCGGACATGTAACCCAATCCTTTCCCTCCCCTAGGAGAAACTGGAAGCTAAGGAGTCTTCTTGATTGTTTGGCACTACACTGAGACAGGAACTCTAGTGAGAGGGTGTTCTGAACCAACCTACTAGCTTCTTTGAGTCTAGTTTCATGTTCATCCAGGGGGCAGGAAACTTTTCATTAATTTCTAGATTTCTACAAGAGAACTTGTCCATGAATTGTTGCTGAATCAGTCTGTGGGAGGAAGGAGGGTCCAAGGCTTCCTACTCTGCCATCTTGCACACTTTCAGAACCCCTGAGTTCATAGATATGGTTGAGATATGCTCTGACTCCAGAGCAAGAATGTGTATGGAAATCTTTCCACTAAGGTGAATTTCCTGATAACCCCCATGAAAACGAGGGCTTCCTGTTTTAAGCCTCCGTGTTTTCAACACTGCACTGCCCTTTTCTTACTTTATAAATTTATTTGTAGGGGAAATGGTTTCATGAAGTTCTTTTTAAGCTTTTATGAGCCTGATAAAATCTATCAACACTCTCTTCAGAAAAGCCCATATACACATACACAGAAGCATTGCTTATAATTTCAGGAGGTTATTGGACACCTCCCCGACTAGCCCACCCACTGACCCTAGGAGTCTCAGTAGAAAAACTGCCCTAAGGCAAAGTCTTGTGTTCACTTGGATGTAACAAAAATTCCCTTCTTATACTTAACCTTTGTGTTAACTTATTTGTAAAATAGGAATAATAATAACAGTTCTTACCTCAAAAATTGTGAAGATTAACAGATGTAATACATGGAAGAGCCTAATTTGAAAACCAAAAACACTAAATATTATCTTTTTCTCTCTCTTTTTAGTCTTGCTAAAACAATCCTCATTCTTGAGGCAGTTGGATGCCTCTCCCTACTAGGGGAAAGATCAGGAAGTATAAGAAACAAGAGCCTAAAGAGTAATATTTCAAGGCCTTACTTTATGCCCATTTAATTCTTTTGCTAAAATCTGGTCACAGGCTTCCATATCATGGTTCTTTCTCTGAGTCACTGAGCAATGGCATCTAGCAAGCCTAGGCCTGCCTCTGTGACCTGGGAGTTACAATTCATTTGCCATGAAATACTCCACTTTGCAAATGTCCAATGCCTTGTCATATCCCCATGTTAACGCCTCTTGGCAGAAAGGAAGAAATGTAAAGTTCTAATAGGGGTTCATTTCTGGGCTAGAAGACACTGAGTCCTGCGAAATAGTGATTAAGGGTTAAGTCTGATTCTCATTGTTTCTACAAAAATAAATAAATAAGTACATTGATAGGCCAAAAAGCAGACATTTATTTAGCACCTACTGTATACACTGCACAATAGGTGACACAAAGAGGAGTAACACATGCTCCTATGCTGTGCTGACTCACAGTCCAGCAAGGGAGATGGATACACACAAAAATAAACCAAACACAAAGTGAACCATGGCTCACAAAGGCAATGATTGTGGCTCAGACAGTATTTCAGGAGTACAAGAGAGGGAGAAATCAATTTTGATGGAGATCCATAAAAGTCTTTTGAGCAAGGTGGGATTTAAGCTGGACCCTAAAGGAGGAGTGAAACTGCTGTGGGTAAATATGATGGGGAAGGACATTCTAGGCTATGGGAGCAGTGTGAAGAAAAGCATGGAGTTAGAAAAGTGCTTGGTATGTATTTGGACAATTATGATTTAACCAATGTGACTATAGTATAGGTTGGGGGGTAGAGGTGTAGAACTTGAGGCTAGGAAGATAAGTTGGAAGCATATTGTGGGAAAGAAACCAAAGGCTGAGTGAAGAGCTTTGGCTTTAGTCTCCATGCAGTGGGGAAGGATTGAGGATCGTTGAGTACACAGATACCAGAAGGAGATCTGTTTTTATAAGAAGAGAATCCTGTTGCCTCTGCGAAGAATAGATGATAGAAGGCAAGAAGAAAGCAGGACCTGGTGAAGGTAAGGGGAGCTGAACTAAAGTTAAGAGAAGCAGGAGTAGCCAGAAGAAGATGAAGGGGAGAGGCATTTGAGAGGCTGCACTCACTTGAGGATGGTTGACGACACACAGCAAAGAAAGCAGAGACTAGCTGAGAGGGCATCCTTGGCACAGCCAATCCCAAGCCGGGCTGCTGTGTAAAACAGACCATGGGCTCAGAGGAAGTGACTGGCTAGGGGCCCAGAGGCCATGTGGTGAAGGATACCTCTTGGCCATCCCAAGAAGACTTTTCTCCTCTCTAGAATTCCCAGAGGGATAGCAACTGACCATCTGCTTTGCCTGCATGGAATATCAAAATCACTCATTCCTGGGCATGGGTCCTCAGCCTGGCAGCTTCAGAAATCCTGAAGATCCTTTAAAACAACTTTCAGGCAGTTTCCCAGGTGATTCTGATCTGGCAACCTGAGATGGGTCTGAGGTGGGGACAGGCATCCATATTTTGTAAAGCTTCCAGGTGATTCTGATGCACAACTGAATTTGGGAACTACTGTGGGACCTTACTGTTGGGCTGGGAAATGTATAGAAAACATGGGTTCAAAACATACTCATGCTGGTGAACACTGGGATGCCTTGAAGACCTTAGATTTTTGTCTCCAACCGTATCTCAAGCATAACGACCTTCACTGAGTGTCTTAGCTTACCCTCCATCCCCAACTCTAATCCTCAGCAAACACATCTAGAGATGGGAGAGGCTGCATGCTTGACAGGGTCCCCTGAACTTCCAAAAGGACAATGTGCATACAAGTCATCATTTTCACCCTTGTCTTCAATTGAAAAAGGAGAGCTTGGCTGTGTCACAGGGGAACCATGAGAAAGTCTTATTACAGGGTGCTTTGGGTCTTTGAAAACAGGCTACATAATACTACTCATTTTCTGCCGGAATTTTACAACATTCATAGCACTTTTACTGCTGTTATTGTTTTATCTCTCAGAAAACTCATACAGTACAAAGGCAAGGCAGGTATTAAAAATGTCACACTGGGCTCTGTGTGATTCAGTGACTCGTGCAAGGTCAGACAACCAGAGCTGGTCCTGAACCCACCGTCCTCCGGAGCTGCAGTTCTGCTTCTGTGCCGTAAGGGAAAGGGTAACATAAAGGCATTTTTCTCTTCTTGTAAAAGAGAAAAAAGGGGGGAGGGGGAATTATTTAAACACACCTCCCTCGTTCTGCAGTCACTGCATTGTTTTTCCTGTTGAAACACCCTGTTGGTTTGTAAATCCCTTTAACCCTCCCCAGCACCTGTATGGCCCAGATCCAAGAATTACCACCGAACCCCTCACTTTTTACACTTAGCCACATAGGCGTTTCTGTGACAGCTCTTGGTTCAGCTGAAAATTTCAGAGCTTCCAGAAGTTTTCTCCTTCCAGAGAAGCTATAGAAGCATGTAATGCTCAGACTTGATTTTTTTTTTTTTTTTTAATGAAGCAGAATATGTTTCTCCCCTTTAGTTCTCCTGCCGCATAAAATAGTGCGATGGTCCGGCCCTGTGTCATTCCTCTGTGAAGGTCCTTCTGAAATAGGGACCAAAAGCCAGGGCAGGGCAAGGATGGGGGTGTCTCCATCAGAAGCTTATGGCCTGGGGTATGACCTCTCTTTAGGGTAAGAACTGAGGCTGAAAACATAATGAGAACTTCCCAGCAAATTCATTATAACAAAGCATAATGTGAGCTCACTAGGCACAAAAATAGGCTGAAGGAAAGTGACTCCCACATAAGACCTAATTAAATACTTTGATGTCAGAAAACAGAACAGGGAGGGGTGGAAAATCAAAGCAGACCAATGCGAAGGACCTAAATTTAAATAGAAAGAAGACATGTTTTTTTTCTCTCTCTCTCTCTTCCTCTCTCTCTTCTTCCCTCCCTCTGTGTCTCTGTCTCTCTCCCCTTTTCCTCCTTTGCCATGAAGGAAGAATAAGATTCAGGAACAATGGGTTGCAAATTCTTCAGCCAATTAGTCCAGTGACTTACTACTGTTTATAATGCACAGAATGTCACAGGCTGTTTTGCAGCCTCCCCAAGTTGGTTTGTTAATAACAGGAAGCTAGCACTTCTCAGTACAGTGGATCAGCTACACGTGAAAATAAATGCAAAAAACCTGGAGGGGAATAGCGGCAGACCGAGAGTAGCCTTGATTTAATTTAACATTTGGGGGTCCACACACAAATGAGCATTTTAGTAGGCTTCATGGTGGAAGTTGCTGTCATTTGTAAAATATTCTGGCCAATTAGCTAATAGTGTGCTTGGATTTCTCCTGTTTTGATACAGTAATACTAAGTACATTGTGAAGCCCAATTATACAAATCATCCCCATATGCCATACCAGTCTTTCTTTATGAACTGTGTTTATAAATCCTGTGTGAGGAAATGTGTACTTCAGCAATTTAGACCATGTGTAAAAACATAGCCAATGGGATTGTCAAGAAAACAAGTTCCAGCCTAGGAAATCCTAATGTGTTCCGCTGGAATAACAGGAGGGTGCCGGGGAGTGCATTGCTCTGCTTAAATACATACTGCTTTCTAGTGTTTAACCAAGTGAGGGGCTTCCGCTTCCCTTTCTGTTATTTTATTCTTCTTTTCTTTTAGGATCCAACCTTGGAGTTTTTGAGAAAATTTGGGATTGGTCTTCTCTCGGGTACAATAGCCTCAGTCATTAACATCCCTTTTGATGTTGCCAAAAGTAGGATTCAAGGGCCTCAGCCGGTTCCCGGAGAGATCAAGTACAGAACCTGTTTTAAAACAATGGCAACAGTCTATCAAGAAGAAGGGTAATGCATTCTTATTTTAATAAATGTACAAGACTCAAGTATGGTTAAAACCATATTGGACTTCCATTTTGATGAGAGCCATTGAGCCCTCCTAAATTGGGTGTGTCTGAGGAGCTCTAGGGAATAGCTGACAGGCTTTTTGAGATAATACAATAATGAGATGTTGGCAAATGTTCTCACACCATCAAGAAGCCTGAGCCACAGTCATAGAGTTCCCTGCATGTTTGTCTTAGAATGCGAAGATGAACTTTTTGCTTGTCAGTTTGCATAATATGCTATTGTATTTAATATGCCCTGTTAACATATGGGCAGGCGCTTGATTGTCTTCTGACTGTAAATCTCATCAAAATGTCAATTATATTCACCTGGGAGAATTAAACATGAGAGTTCTGTGAAAGTAGTTTTCTTTTAAAAATTTAAAGTATGTGCCCTTTTCTGCTGGTCTTTTTTTTTTCTTTTTAAGATTTTTTCTTTTTTCCTTTTTCTCCCCAAAGCCCCCCGGTACATAGTTGTACATTCTTAGTTGTGGGTCCTTCCAGTTGTGGCACGTGGGACACCGCCTCAGCGTGGCTCGATGAGCAGTGCCATGTCCACGCCCAGGATTCGAACCAACAAAACACTGGGCCGCCTGCAGCGGAGCGCAGGAACTTAACCACTCGGCCACAGGGCCGGCCTCTGGTCTTTTTTTTTTTTACGTCTTATTTTTGTTTCTTCATCCGTCACCCAGGTCTTATTTTCAAGTAAACAAGTAACATTTTATTATTTTGATCTAAACTGCATCATATTTCCTTATGTGAGGACTGAGTTTATAGGCTTTTAAATTCAATTACAAAAGTCATTTTGTCCATATACACAGCTGTCTCAAAAGTAAGATCTGTCTTGAAAGCAAAAACCATCTCGCTGATGAAAGTCATATTTCTGATTGGACAAGACTAGCGTAGCTTGGGTAATAAAGAGTTGATTAACTCTTTCCCCTTGTCCATTTGCTGCAGAGAATACTTAGCCGGATACTGTCTGGTTTGCAATGTGTGTAATTTTAAATATTTTTTTTTTTTTCTAAATGCTATATCACCATCTCAGTCAAGCTGAGGTACAACTCCATTTTGTTTTCAGAATAAGAATGTTGCTCTTTCTCTTCTGGTTATAGGATTTTAGCTTTGTACAAAGGCCTGCTTCCCAAGATTATGAGGCTTGGACCAGGTAATGATGCTTTTATTACTTATATCCTTCCTTCTTTCCTTTCTTGTTTGTGTCTATCAGCAACACTGTGATAAAAAGTTTATCACACTATAAAAGATGGAAACCTTGAAGATATAAAGTTGTCTATGAGCATTCAAGATCCTGAACGCATCCATTAGAAATGTTCTAGCTTTGTTTATAAGGTATTATTTATGGCCTTGCTGGAGGCTGATGGAAGCCAAAGCTCAGCTTAAGTCAATAGGAAAGGATCCACAGCCAGTGGGAGGCTGAGTGAGCACAGAGTTACATACATGGTGGCTTCTGGCTGAAGGGCAGGATTTTCACTGAGTGAGGGACCAGCCTAATAAAACTTTTCCTGGTGCTCCCTGTTCATTCTTGCTCCTGTCTCAACTTCATTTCAAAAAGAGAAAAAGAGGACAACTTGCCTCCACAAACAGCAAGAGCCACTGGTCTTCACAGTCACCTCTGGGGCGTGGTGAAGCTGCAGCCTGGCTCTTGCCTTCCTGGCCTCTGTCACCGTGATGGTGGAGGCTCCTGGCTCAGGGCCTTCCCTCAGGACACCACCCACAAAAAAACTGCCATTCCCACAGGGAGAGTCAGCTGCCTCTATGTAAATAGATAGGAAAATAACTGCTGCAGACCCAACCGCCTGGGCAAATAGTCTTGGATTATAAGCAACCTGATGAATAAGTACAGAAGTATGTGCTAGACCACACATATATTTTTTTACCCGGTCATACTCACCTACTTCGACATCTTGGAAATCTTCTCCTACTCCTCTTCTCTCTCCCTTTCCCATTCCCCTCTTTTCACCCAATGTCTAAGTCCCCTACCTCACTCACACACAGGCACATTCACCTTTAGCTCTCAATCCAATGAACCAGCATTTCTACCAACCTGAGATATAGACCTACAGTCTGTAAATGGAAGCTGGTGAACTGTTCACACTTTCATGTATTTAGAAAACACCTCCACAATTCCCAATCCACCTGTCCCAACCTTTCTAGGCTTTTAAGCATGGATTTTGCTTCGCCTTTGAGATTCAGACCTGCCTTCTGTTAGTCATTGGCCCATGTGTAAAAACGAACCCAATAATAAAGAATATTGGTGATTTTGTGCAACTCTCTCTGCAAGTATGTGGTGTTTTCCCTTCACCACACAGTAAAAACCTGCTAGTAGACTAGTATTAGAGAAAATCATAGGATTGGCCCTAACCCAGCTTTCTCATGACGGGATAGGCCTGAAAAGAGTGGTGGCCAGAGAGAGTTGAGGTAAAACAGTAATTGACTGGAACCTTAATCCAAAACTCTTAAATAATCTGACCCCAAGTTTTGTTAGAGGCTTGCAAATGTTTGGTTGGCTTTTTAAATGTTTTTGCATGAGGTGTCCTGAGTTGCTGTGGTGTCAAATCCAATGGAAAGTGTTGTTGTGGACACACTGTCCAGATTAAACAAAACTGTGAACAACTGGAAATCTCCTTCAAGGACCTGGCCTCCACTCTCATTCCAAATGCGCAAGTCCTAAGTAACTTCAAAGGAAAGACTTTTGAGTTAAGGCTAAGAATTTTTTTTTTTTTTTTTTTAAAGAGAGAGACAGTAAAAAAGAAAAGAAAGGTGAACCTGGAATTTTCATCCTTTGTTCTAGAGAAGGATCCCATCTTATTTTCATAACAGCCTTAGCAGCTCGCTGTGCCTAACGATCAGGTACCTCCCATGAAAGGAGAATCTCGAAGACTGTAGTTTAAACTCCAAATATGTCTAGGCTGAAAACTAACCCAAATCTGTGTGTTCTTGTCTTACGTTGTGAACAGCTAATAAGGGTAAACAGAGTAATTACATACATATTAACAGGCAGCTGTCGTGAGTCCTTTTCGTTCACAGAGTACCGAGAGGGCTACAGCAGCTGAGAGGGGTCTGATAGAGTATCTTCATGGGTTAAAAATGAAAATTACAGGCAGATAATTATCTTTGGTATATGGTTACACAAACATGTGCAGCCTGTAGATTAAAAAAAAAGCACATGGCAGTATGTACAAAATAACTAAGATCAAAATCAAGTCCTATTTCTTTCTGTTAGACATCAATCTTCTGCTTATGCAGCCAAGTCTTCTCTAAGTTGTGCTCAGGATATTTGTCCACAGTTTGATTTTATAATATTTTTCAGACAGACATGAGAGGACAAATAGAGGTTGTTGTAAAGGGCACAGGACATGTGCCCTCTACTGCATCAGATAGAACACAAAATCATCCACATACAAATGCTTCTCCCAATGTGTAGATATTCAGCAGCCTTGGTGCTTGTTTTCCTGTATCACATTCCTGTTGATGTTTTACATAGAAAGCCTCTTTGCAGCCAGTTATATAACTCTTCTCTTCCTTGAAAAATGGTGGTCTTATGACACCCAACCCCTACTACCAAATTTTCAAGTGCAATCCATATATATCTGAGGTAGATAGAAGAAATGACAACAAAAGGAGGGTGAAAGCCAGCTAAGTTTTGCAGTACAGAGTTTTAAAATATTCAGAAGCTATTTTTCACATTGCAATCCAGTTTGAAAGCTGTAAGAGAAAAACAGACTCATCCATTAAGCACCATCTTAGAGATTTCCTTCTTGAATGCAATCCGATAATGCTAATTATGGACTGAAAAAGATAAATCCTTTGCCTACATATGAAGAATCTGGAAGTTTCTGTTTGCAGGAAAGTCACATGCCCTTACATGACTAAATGTGTCTATATTTATTTACTTTTAAAAATTAAAAGTGCCTGAAAAAGAATCTGATGAGGAATGATGAAAGTTACAGAAACTCATGGGGAAAAAACGTATTTGGAGATTCAAGATGGTCTTGATTTTGCTCTGAGTATTTTCCACAATAGTTTTATATCTCTGTATTGTTGCTCAAGAACTGATGATTCCAACCAGCCCCTGCCCAATAGGTTGCATGACTTCACGGATTCAGAAACCTAGTGGGAAAGATGATACTTTTTCACAGGGTTTGCCATTAAAACCAGCTCTTTTCTTTTCTAGGTGGTGCAGTCATGCTGCTGGTTTATGAATATTCCTACTCATGGCTTCAGGAGAACTGGTGATTGCCTAGGAAGTGTTTCCCCCCTTGAAATAATGGATATTTCCTATACAGCACCATGAGAAGGAGAGGCTATCAATCAGCTAAGCTGATGCAATTATTAATTATAATTACACCATTATATACAATTCTAAAGGGGAAAACAGTTTGTTCAAGAATAAAACCTATTTTGAAACTTCCAAACTTATCTCTAAGTAATTTTAGATTGTAGTTTTAGCCATGTCCACAAAACTGTGAGAAGAAAAATCATATGAAGCAATGAGATATGTAAACTGAATATAGAATAGCATAGAATCAGGTATATTTCATAAAAGCAATATAAATTTTGTGACCTATGTTCCTCTTAAACCACTTCACAGTGAAAATTCACTGTATTGATCATTATTTTTTCCCAAAAGGCCAAGAAATGCTTAAAGTAAAAAAAAAAAAAAAAAAAAGAAAAAGAAAAAAATTTAAAGGGTTTTTATAAGGAATTAAATTCTTCCATAAATAATATTTAAAGGGGACGGGAAAATATTTTTAAAGTGCACTAAAATAGCCTTTTAAGAATGTTAGGTTTTATGTAAAAATGTAAATCTGTTGGTTTTCTTTAGTAATAATATACATCTCAGCTATATTTTCCTAAAGCTACTTTATATTTTTCACTGTTGTTTAAAGCAGGTCCTATTTTAAAATCATGATTTGGAGTCTTTTATGAAAAATAGAAAATATGAAATTGTATCAAACTACTTTCCTTCACATAGGTCTATTTGAAAACGAGCTTTTTGCTGAAATATTTTCATGTCAAATCACAAATTGGAAGCCCTCCTTGGGCCATTTTGTGCTGTCTACATTTGCATCCCAATATCTTTGTTCAGAACTCTTACCTAGGCCGTTCTTAAAAAAAAGGTTTAGAGTAAAACTGCATTTCCAGGTTACTAGTTTTAAGCGGCAGCTTCAGGTGTGAAACCTGCTGCTGCAGAGTTCAAATATGTCTCATGAAGGGAAAAATGTTTCCAAGCAGAAGTACATTCTTAGCATTTCCAAAGATCCCTGTGCTAACATGCACGTCAAAAAATATCTTGTTGGCCTTTATATAACCAAACTTGATTTTCTATCTGCATCTTGAAATGATGCTCCTTCAGCAGCTAAAATCAACAAAAAGATCTGCACGTTCTAGATGACACCTGTTCTTACCTACTCCTATGGGATGTTTCTACCATGAGGCTATGTCACCAAAGCATTTGAAAAATAAAAAATAAAAGATAACATGGTAATTATTACTTTTTATTAATTTAGAGCATTTGAAGTATAAAAATAAAGGCTTTTTGACATACTGTATATACATACACAGCCTTCAGTTGTACATCCTTTCCAACATGTTTTTTAACTTATATTTCAGCCCAATATTCAATAAAAGGGTCATTAAAAGTAGGAAAAAAACAAGAGAAATAAGAATGTGTCTGCTGTGCAACTGCATTGTATCTTGCAGGTAATGCTCTTGTATCCTAGGAAGGAGAGGACGGCCTGCATAGAGGCCCTGACATTGACCCTTTACCTCTCCATGTGCATGGGGTGGAAAAGGATCTCTGAAGAGTGCATTTGCCAGTTTAAAAACAACACTTTTACCCCCTAAGAAACAGAGGAAATATGTCAACATTAACCAATAATAATAATGTTTAAAAATCAAACAATCCCAACCCCATATCCTATCCCATTTTTCTTCTCTCATTTTTAAAAGTAGCTTTAAATCATAATTTGCTTTGAATAGCAAATTGTATTTGGGCTTTCTGTAGTCTTTTTTAGTTTACTCCATGTGAATTTACTGTTGCTAAGAAAAGACTTGGGGAAAAGAAGAAAAGTAAAAGAAGAAAACTTTGATACTGTTAACTTTAGACTTTTAAAAATACAAGAACCAGAAAAAAATTATAAATAGCATAATAACAAGAGATTTCTTAACTTAGATAAAGAAAATAACATTTAGTTGTGTTTCCTTACAAATGATTGATATTTTTTTTAAAGACTCCTAACAGCCACCTACAAACATCTGATAAGGAATAATTCTGTACCTTATGTCAGTTTTTCTGGACGGCAGGAGAGTCCCTGTATGGTATGGTTTTAAAGTCTCCACTAAGGTATTGGACTGGTACCTTTGTTCCATTCGGTTTATAGTCTATTTTCTCACCAGACTGGGAACTCCAGATGTCAATAAGAGTTTTACAACATCAAAGGAAGACTGTGGCCCTGAGAGTTCATCTGCTCCTTCTGCTTATTCTTCTCCTGAAGTTATAATCCTCTGTTTGTAGCACTGAATTTCGGGTCGCTTTAGAAATAAATGCAGCTCAAAGCTCTCTACAAGCTATCTGCTGCTTGAAAAAAGCAGCTTCTCGAACATAACTTGTATGTCAGAAATCCGCTTACTGTTTATATCCTAGCGATTTGAAAGCTTAGCTGATCTAGCCATCTGAGTTGTAAATGAAGCCATGAAACCGATGAGACGGAACTGGAGTGCCATGTAGCCTGTGCACAGCACAGACAGGAAGACATCAAAATCACTCAGCGAGTGGGTCTTTAACGTCCATATCTAGTGATGCACCCTTTTAGTTATTGCACAGAATTAATACCAAAAAACTCGCAATATATTAATTTTCCAATAGATGAGTTATACCAATGTTTTAAAAACGTATTTTCAAGCCTATATCGCCAAGCAGAGAGAAATTTCTAAACAAAAGAGATTAAAAAAAAAACTGTAGAATTTTACCCAGGAAAATCAGTTGTTTTAAAATACAACACATAATCACACGCTCATACACACATATACCCCACAGCTCCATTATTAACTTTAAAGTGAAAAACAAATTGGTCTAGAAAGATTTATCAGTTAAACTATGTCCTGTAACTCCAAAAATTGAATAAAGGGAATTTTTAAAAATTAAATAGCATTTGTATTTCTAATCCCACCACCAGTTTACCTATATGTGAAACACGCTTCTGTACAACCATGTAAACTTCACAGCAAGCCATTTTTACATTCATTAGAGCAGAATTTTCCATTTTCTTTAAATTACAACATAATTTTGGGCTGAGATTGCTGAACACACAGGTAAGCCAACAATAACAGTACAATTTAGTTTCACAGTGGTTTTCTTAACGTAAAGTTCATTTTAAATGTCTTTGCAAAGCGTTTCACATTAAACTTAAGTTTCTAAGTGACTTCCTTTAGAGCCTTCTTGGTCAGATATTTTCCACCCTCTTGTCTTTATACGCTTGGCATGTGTGTTGTTTGATTAGGATACAAAATGGGAGACTGGCTTGTTTTATGTTTTTTTGAGTTCTCTGCTGTAGAAAGAATATGTCCTTCATGAGATGCTGAAGCCTTCACTGCACACACAAAATTTGGGGCAAGTCCAGGTCCAGGAGCCCGAGCAGCCCACCACCAAACAGAGACAAAGACGTTGCCAGAAAGTCACCTTTGCAAAAAGAAAGAAAAAAAGAGAGAAGTGGGGGGGGTGGGGGGGATGTCCCATGGGATGAAAACACAAATGCACCATCCAGAGTTCATATTTACAAACTAATAGAAAATATAAACATTATTGTATTTGGAACCAAGTCAAAACACGAGGAGGAGCTAAATTCAGATATTGCTTGTGTTATACATATATTTTCCAACAAAATCAGTCATCTCTTAAAAATGAACAAAGGATCACTCAAACAAGTCAATTATTGATTGGTTTCCTAATGATGAAGTAAGGCTTATTTGGTCACCTTATTTGATTAGAGGGTGTAGCATAACTTTTTTCTATATGTATTTTCCTTTATTGATTTTGCAAAATCTCAACAATTGCACGTTTCAAAAGTTCAGGTTGATTTAGAATAAATATACACATGTGGTTTCACCAAAGACTAGTTTAAAAAGTTTCTTAAGCCCTTTGAGGGGTGCAGGTTTCTTCACTACGTTACAACAGTGTGTGGGCAACACAAATGTCTCATTCAATCCTTAGCATTGCTTTTGTTTTTAAACCCTAAAGTCATGTCAGGTTTTCTGTGAGAGAGAGAAGTTATGGCAAGAAGTACTTAAGTGTCATCAGCACAAAGGATGTGAGTCCGGAAAGCCAGCTTTCGAGGCAGTAGGGTTGGCGGGCAGGAGGGGTGGGATCCGAGACCAGGGAAGGGGGGGGGGGGGCGTGCTGAGAGGGGGACCCGGTGAAGCTGCTGCAGATGGAATGTCCCATCAGAGTGCGGAAGCCGTGACAGAGTGACTACCTTCTCTGGCTGCCTGCATTCCCTTGAACGCCAGCGACGCGGGAATGTCACAGTTGTGGGGGGAAAGTGGGGTGCCGCTGGCATGTTGCCACCCATGTCCAGCAACATAACCAGAAGGAGCAGCACTGTAGGTCATGTAAGGCGACACTTGGGCCGGGGGAGGATAAGGAGCCATGCTGGATGCTGACACAAAACTGCTCACAGCTGGGAGACCATTTGGTGCCTATGAGGAGCAGGAAAAGAGAAGAGGTGAAAATCATCACATTATAGCAGTTGACATTTCACGGGTTCTTAGAAAGAAGCAGAATGTAAGTACTGAGTAGGAGAAGCCAACAATATTCTGACTCTGCTTTCTGATGTTTTTTAGATTTGACCTTAATTGTATTCTAAATGCACTCACAGTCTTTGTACTTAAACAAACATAATGCCAAAAGACGGGATGTGATTCTTTCCACAAAAGTTTTGAGGAGCCTGAACCCAGAAAATTCACAGTATTTGCTTTCGCTAGTGGAATTACAGGATGGAAATGCAAGGGGAGGAAAGGGCTAGTGTGATTAAATACTCTCAGATCTGCTGAGCTCTCCGCATGCCGCTGTCAACCTTCCCCAGACGTGGGTTTTGTTTGGCTCTTTTGTTGAGGCGTCTGTGAAGGGCCTGGCTGGGGTAGCTTTCATTTTCAGTAAAGAGGGGCACGGACCGTGGGCCGTCACTTTAGAAACTCCAAATGAGCACAACCTTTGTTAAATAAAACATGGGCCATATTTTAAAACATCAAGTTGAAAATGACTGTTGGACAAAGGACATGCAAAATCGGGCATTTTGCCTTGTAAGGGTTTTTAAGTGAAGATTGGGGGCATTTTTTCCAGAGCTATTTTGTCAAAAAAGAGACTGTCTGTTTGAATATAAAACAACTGCATATACATGGTTTTGAAATTGGAAAA